TCTGCCCAGCACCAGCTCTTGTCCCTGTCATAGGAGAAAAGAATCATAGAATCATGGAATCCTTTAGGTTGGAAAAGACCTTTAAGATCATCGAGTCCAACCATCAACCCAACACCAGTATGCCCATGAAACCATGTCCTGAAGTGCCTTATTTACACGTTTTTTTGAACACCTTCAGGGATGGTGACTCCACCACTTCCCTGGGCAGCCTGTTCCAATGCCTGACAACCCTTTCAGTAAAGAAATTTTTCCTAATATCCAATCTAAACCTCCCCTGGCACAACTTAAGGCCATTTCCTCTCGTCCTATCAGTAGTTACTTGATAGAAGAGATGAGCATCCACCTCACTACAACATCCTTTCAGGTAGTTATAAAGGGCTATAAGGTCTCCCCTCAGCCTCCTCTTCTCCAGACTAAACAGCCCCAGTTCCCTCAGCTGCTCCTCATAAGACTTGTGCTCCAGGCCCCTCACCAACTTGGTTGCCCTTCTCTGGACACGCTCCGGCACCTCAATCTCTTTCCTGTAGTGAGTGGCCCAAAACTGAACACAGTACTCGAGGTGCAGCCTCACCAGTGCCGAATACAGGGGAACAATCACCTCCCTGCTCTGGCTGGCCACACTATTTCTGATACAGAAGTGTGGTTGGAAGCCCCTCTACTGGTGTCAGAGGTTTCCTGCATCCTCCTCAGGCTTCAGTTCATTAACCTGGACCATTTCCAGAAGGGGAAGCAGTGAATATCTCATTCTGTACATGCTCTGGGGCATTTCTACCATTTTCTGAGAGTTCACCAGAAGCACAAAGCGCTCAGCACTGAATGGCTGAAATGACCTGACTTAAAGCAGCTCTACACCAGTCCATCATTTCACATGCAAAACCTGACATTTTCTGCAAAGAAGGAATACAAACAAGAACACCAATGGGAGGTATCCAACTTGATCACTGTGAATACCTGAGCACGACACACTCCTCCTTCCCCCACTATTTCATAGGAACAACAGGACTGTAACTGGTCACAATGAAGAAGCTCTGCTTTTCCTATGATTAACTGTATTAACAAATCTTGGTAATATACTGCTTTCTCAGTCAGTGTTCTGTGATAAAATCAACAAAGCAAAGCACGCATCTGGAATCATCTTGCTCTTCTCAGTGTTTCTGTTTTATTTACCTTTCTCCTAATCAGTCCTTAAAGTTAATCCAGTTCCACTCAAGCAGTGGATCTTCCAAAATATCTCTAAAATAACCCTAAGGTGCTTCTCTAACACCAGATAGTGGCACAGAAGGTCCAAAAATGGTACTGGAAGCCCCTCAAGTTATGAATTGCAAGTCATTGCCATCCTTTAGATACAGGTGATGCCAGACAATGCCTGCAAGAACAAATAGCTTTTGCCACTGTTTTTTTAAAAAGACTTACTGGATATCTGTGGTTGTATTAGATCCATATATGCTATGACAACAGGACCTGAACATCTTCTGACAGTGCTGAGACAAAAGCTGACAACTCCCAGATGTTAAAACAGCTGTCCAGGTAGTGTGTTACATCATGCCTTCTTTGATAAACAATGGGAAGAAAATCAATTGTAGAAGCACAAATACTTCATACAACTTGAAAGAGATCAACCCAGCACCCAAAACAGCATTTCTGTTCACACAGAACTGCTGAAGAAAGCAGCATGTAGATTTGAAAACACATTAAGAGCATCTAGCAGTGACCAGTGCAGACCTTGATATCCATGGGGAATGCTGCTGTGTAAGGCACATTGAGGGGCTCCAAACACAGGTCTTCTGGTCCCTTTTCCTGGCTTGTGGCAGCTGGCCAGGGCAGAGAGTGTGAATGAGCCAGTTCCCCTCCAGAAGGGGTCAGTCACTTCCCAGCTGTGCCTTGGAGCAGCTGACTACAGCAATTGGGCCCCTGCTCTTTCAAATGTACTCCAGTCTGAGACTGCTGTTCCTGACACTGCCCATGGTGAAGTAGTTTGTTAAAGCCTCCAAGCTGAAAATGAAAGGGGCTGAATGTCTGTGTAAAATCGAATTTCCATTTACCCCTGCCAACAGACACATGTGGGGGTAGACTTTGTGGGAGTGGCAGCTTCAAAGCCCTACCTGCCTAAGTGCTGTAGGCTTTAGGATGGACCCTTAAATACTGTCAAAGAAAGTCTGGTGGCTGGGCTGTGGATGCCACTTGGGAGACCAAAGCTCAGTTCTTACTCCACTGCTTGTCTCCCCTGCCACATCTCACAGGACAGCATCCTATTTCTGTGCTCAGCAACATCAGTGGCGGCCCAGGAGTAGAGTTTGCTAATTCAGGGCTACGTGGGGCTAGGGTAGGGTGAGTGAAGACTTCAGTCCCATGGCTCCAAGGAAAGTATTATCCACGCACATTGTATCTTGATCCTTTCAGCAGCTACGCTCCTCTCCTCACAGCGCTGCTGGAGAAGATTGAGTCATGGTCATATCAGAGTGGGTGCCAGACGTGAAAATGGACGTCAAGCCCTTGTAGCTTTCACCAAGCGATGGGTTTGATCTGGCTGGCATGAGGGCTAAAGACTGCCAGAATAGAGATGCCAAGCCAGCAGACTGGAGGAGGATTAAGCCATGGTTTTAGGGAGGAGCATGGGAGTCAGCACAGGAATCTTCCCCACCAGTTCTCCTAACTGCTGCCAGGAAAGACAGGACATAGGATTAAACCCTGGAAGGAAAGATCAGAAAATGCTGAGTGGTTATGGAAACCGTTTCAAAGCCAGCACCATTTTGCCTCATGGACTTACCCACTCAGTTCTGGGGCCTTTCCTTCCTTTACAGGTGAACTGTCACTGAACCCAGGCCCAGCTAGGTCTTGGCCATCCCTGCCTGTGGCTCTGCCCCAGTGCAAGGTCTGGATTGCAAGCACAGAGTCATGTTGTCAATCAAAGAGTCCCATGTCTGGAAGATCTAGCAATTCCGTTGTAAACAATGGCTACTAGGTCTACCTTGTCTTGCCACAGAAAAGGAGGCAACAGCCTTCATCATATCTCCAACTAGAGAAGTGAAAGGCTAACGTGACAGGTGTGCCAGCCTTTGCTACTTCCTTTCTCCCCTTTCATTGCTTGTTCTTCAGGGCTGGCAAAACCCAGCCATAGAGTAGGTCTGTGCTGCTCCAGGGCTTTGGGTCATTCTGCCTCTGAAATGAATACAGCACCTGCACCTACCAGGGCTGCGTAAGTCTACCTGCCAGTTCTCATTTCACAGATATCTTGTGACATTTGATTGCCTGAAACTGATAATAGGGCTGAAGTACTATGCCCTATTTCCTCCATCCTTACTTTCCAACTGAAAACCTCACTGTACCTTGAACAGAAGCACCCCCCCCGCGCCCCCCACCACCACCACAAAATGCAGGTGATGCACACCCAGCCATCTTTCTTGCCTATCACCAGGCAAAAACATAAAACACCTTTCTTTATGGGTCCAGAGGTCCCCTACAGTTCCCAGTCTGTTCCTGAGAGAACAGTTTTCCCTGTTTACTAGCAGGGCTCCATGGCAGTTTCCTGACCTTTGGTCCTTGTCTTACAGCAGAAAAAACTGAGAATGTGAATTCCTCTGCAAATCATTGGCTGGGATCTTGAGTCAGATGATACCAAGCTGTTTCAAAGTTCAGCCAGGTGACTAATTTTCCAAGGATCTGTGAAAAATCCTAGCCAAAGCCATTTTAAATGGACCACTTCAGGCCTTTGAAGTCTGGTGGCATCAAAATGTGTAGAATTTATGGAATTTGTTTAGTGACTTATGGCAGTAATTAAACCAGTGATATCAACACTGCTGTGTTTCTTTTATATGGGGCATACTGGAATCAGATCAGACAGCTTCCCTGAAACCTGAGTTCCTGGTTTGCTCTGCTTCTGCCTGGCTGTTGGTTCTGTTCTCTCATGACTAAGTGCAACAGAGACCTTTCAATTCACCTCACGCTCGGGACTATTCTTCTAATCCAGCTGCATAATTCATTTTGCCACAGAAAGCCATGCCTACCTCTTGAAGCAATTGCAGCATTGGTTTCAGGAAGGTGTGAGAACCTCATTATTATTAACAAGCTTTTTGCTGCTGAGGCAGTAGGAATTGGTATTAAGAAATTGAGCCGGAACAAAACTTGCCTTGGAGCTTGTATTGAATTTTTTACTTTTCCTGCAAGGTGCAGGAGGGAGGGCAGGGAGTAGGAGGAGGCTGCAGTCTTGGGCAGTGTCACATGCTCTCCCACATCGGCCCTTTGTATCAGCCAACAATAACGCTCCCTGGTATTTTGCCACAGCAGCCTTCAAATGTCATTAGCCCTGTGGGTAATTCTGCTTCACACTCCAGTGCATCAACGTCAATCCTGGCATGAGGAAGCTGTACTGCCACTTCAGAGATAAGGTTTCAAGTCTGAGTTCTAGCTTTCAAGATCTTGATTTCTCTCCTGCATGGCAGGCTTAAATTCAGCAAGGGTGTAGTGTGCTTTCGTAGGAACTAAAAGAAGTGGTCTTGAGGTCTGAGAAGGGTGATGAAAAATATGCCTAACCTCTTGTGAGCAGTGGTGGGGCAAGGAAGGAGGTCTGATGACACTGATGGGGTCCAGTGACACCACAAGGACAGCATTTCCCTCCAGCACCTTTGCTGGTACTGCAGGGTGGCGCAGGACTGGTGATGCTGATGTTCAGTGGGTCTGGTCAGCTCAACTTCTTGCTGTCCTGGCAGCCAGCATGGAGCTGGTCCTTAGCAGTAGGCCCTATATTCCTCTCTGGGATAAAAAAACAAACAGTTTATGCCTTTCACTGGTTCTAGCCCTTCCCTTGCTGGAGAGGAGGGAGCTGAGCAGATACACTGAAAACCTCAAAGGCCTCAAATGTTCCAGTGTGAAGGACGAGAGAGAAGGATGTTTGAATGTGATGCAGAGCTTCTCAAATGTAGATCTTGAGGCATGGCCAAGGAATATTATTTGCCTTTTGTTTGTTTTTTCCCCTCCTAACCAAGTCCTCCTTTTAATTACAGCTCAGTATTTCGCTAGCATCATGGTCATCGTTGGTCTGTCTGTGGTGGTAACAGTGCTGGTTCTGCAGTTTCACCATCATGACCCGCAAGGAGGAAAGATGCCCAAATGGGTAAGCAGATTTGATGGTAAATATTCAACAGCCAACTGAAAGAAAAAAATAATCTAAAAGCTATAGTAAACTAATTATAGATGAAGGTCAGAATTTGTTCCCCATTAATCTGAAGAGTCAGCTACAGACGGTATGTTTGACACTTAGGTTTGCTATTGGAGGGAAAGAACAAGCACACTAAATTAGGTTTTCTATAAAACCAGTATCTGATATTTGGGGTTTTTATTTAAACTTACAATAGGGTTATTGAGTCATGGCAGAGTAATCTTGCTCAGCACCCACTTTACAAGTGCTAACCCCATGGGCAACACCTTTGATTTCTTATCCAGCACGACACCAGTACTGATAAAACGTGACATTTCAAAGCACTAAACAAACACTTACTGGTCTCTGCTGGGCAGTTTGTCTGCTTTGTTCCCTTACAGAGGTTCTCACTGCAGTTCATGACAGAGCTGTAATCTCCCAAAACAAAGACAGGAGGTGAAGCCAATTTACTTCTGTCTTGCAACTGTTCTAGTTATGAACTGGCTCCGCAAGTTGCTGGAAGATTAGGAACTCCAATACTTCAGTGTAGTGAGGGTGTTGAACGCCGAACCCAGCTATGCTTCTCACAGCTTGGAGCTTACCACCAGCAGAAAAAGAAAGGCAACGCTCTTGGACTCAGTCTGACTCAGGCTAAGGAGACCCGTGGACTTTCGTGTCTTGGAAATCTGCCTTCTGCTGAAGCCACATCCACTTGTCTGTATGGAAAAACAATTTTGTCTGGTGCCATCTGATCAATTCTCAGTGCATTAGCATGTGTTCTCCCTCTTTTCTCTACAGCAGCAGTCTCTGTTAGCCCAGTGAGGTCTGGCACCAATGCCAGCTGACTTTCAGAAAGAATGTGTTTTCTTTAGATTTTCAAGTTAAAAGAAAACGATACTTTTTTTTCTCTTCTTTTCCTAAGAATAGATTTTAGAATAAGCAAGGTATGCTTTGTATTTACAAAAAGAACAGGAATGAAAGCAGAAGCAGGTACAAATAGTCAACTGTCCACCCACCGTGGTTTCACAGAAGTCTGGTTGTACAGCATCCTCTGGTATCTCATTCACCACATTTGTCATGCTAGACAATTATCCTGACATGATGTTGAATCATGTCATCCTGAGTACAGACAGTTTTCTAATTTAGCCTCTCTAAAAATGAACTGCAGCATCAATGCAAATTAAAAAAAGAAGTCCAGTAGAATTAAGCATATTAACAATTATTTCTTGCAGTGCTGTATCTTAAAATCATCTTACTTTCAAGACAGCAGAGCACATGAATTCTGGATGAACCCGCATGTAAGCAGGACCTGAGGGCACAAATCTGGGTAAACTTGCTTCAGATTTGTACATGGACAGCGTATGCAGCAGCATAATAGTCCCCATGGACAATTTTATTGTTTCATCTGCTTTTTGAGGAGCCTAGACACAATGGCATATGTTAAATCTGCTCACAGGCCCTGCAAGTCAGTTCCTGCTCTCTATCAGTGTCTTACTGTCTTGGCTGGAAACACAGCATGCAACAAATTCTCATTTTTGAGGAACCTTGTTCAATGATTGGACAGCTGAACCGGCATACATTAAAAAAATACCATCAGGAAGCAAAGAGTGTGGAAAGCATTACTGGGAAGCGTAGATGACAGACTGAAAGCTGTAGACCAGGCAAGCTGACAGGGCTGAGCGATCTTAAGAGAAAAAGGGTGAATGCCAAGTGTGTAGAGAAGAGGCTGACCCCACAAAAGTGGCACTAGTCCTCTGCAAGGCACAGGCAAGACTCAGTCATTAGGATTCATGGCAAAGTCTTCATTTTAATTTTTTTTTTCCTGTCGACCTATGTCACGTGTTTCATACAGAGACACCCTGAAAAATTTTTGGTCAATAAAAACCAGGAATCCAAGATAGCCATCTGCAGAAAGGAGGAAATTGCTTACCTGAAATTTGCTCTCTGCAGTTACCAGTCCCAGAAGATACCCCTACCACCTACTTACTCCCCACACCCTCCTTATCCTGGCAGAGTCAGACATGAGTTTATTGCAAAGCACTAACCCTGATTAATTGGATATTGTTACAGGATTGTTCTCACCTCCTGCTTAAATGGAATTAGCTGCTGGAGTAAGTTGCAGGGGAAGGCATTGGGCTTGTGTGGGAGCAGTTCCAGACCTAGAAGATTTATCTTACCACATTACCTAAACACTCACTTTCTAAACTATTTAGAGTTGAGCAGCCTCTTTTCCCTTCCTCTCAAGGGCTCTGTGCCTGGCCTTTGAATCAGAGGAAAGAGGACGTGTGCATATCAGTATTTAGCCTCTCTGTAGGTGCTCATTTCTTCCCTTACTCCACTGCTGAAAATTGTGCCTTCCTTTCTATTAATCTTTGATGACTTACTAAAGCCAACTTTTTCCAAGAGGTTTTAAATCCAAGGTGTTCTGTCAGACCATTTGTTAGCTACTCATTTGAGAAGTGAGAGCTGCTGACTACTTAATATTTTTGATGATGTCTGCTGAGCTAGCATGGAAAAGAGCACTAAAGAAGGTCCAGCTAAGGAGCAGTTTGGGAGTGGATAACATCAGGCATGGGTAACAGCTCCATCACCTATCTCTGCTGACAACCAAGACTGTTGCACAGGTGAGAGATATGGAGAGACCAAGCATAGAGAGAAGAAAGAATTTTGTGGGAAAAGGCAAGAGCACTTTGGCTCTTTGCTGTGCCTAAATCAGGTTCATTATGTTTCAGGCTTTTCTTTTGATGTGCTTTGAACCTGGACATGCACAGATTTGCTCATGGACAGCTGATGCCCCTGCTCAGGACAGCTTTAACTGGAGACTCCCCTCTGGATTAGGACAGGCAGGTGGCTGTGATGGGAGCTAGAAATACAGCTGTATTATGGTTAGGGGGGGACCTCCGAGGTTAGGATGTTGAACTCTGAGGGCAACTGTACCTATGTCCTTTCTTCACAGAAACCCAAATATCATAACACAGGTGAGAACATACCATCATGCCTGGGCTGTTTTCCAACAACCCCTATGCTGCAGCTGTCTCCTAAATTAATTGGTATGACAAGAACAGATTGATGCCTGAGTGTTTGTGTTTTCAAGGAAACAGGGCATTTGGAAGTTCAAGCAAATTAAAAGTTGTATTGCTGTCTTCTGTGTATTTATCATTCTATGGAAAATGGGTTTGGCTATATTTATAAATGTAATTTCCCTAAGCAATAAACACTTTGTCTTGAAAGAAAAAGTAGCATTCCTGTAGAATAGATCTTTTCCACCTCACATCTCCTTCCAGAGCTAAGGCAGACATATTAAGATTTTCGAATAAGAAAGTTTTTCTGGCTTAGTATCTTGGAATTTCACAGTACTGAGAATTAATGTCTCTCTCCCTTTTGCCACTGACACTGTTGAAATATTCCTAGCAATTAAGACCTTTATTATGTTCCATTTTATGTCCATAAGCAGTCAGAGGACATTGTAATTAAGTAAGTTCAATTAAATGCAGGATCGACTTTTTAGGCTGCTATGTTATAGTTTTCTATTTGTCTGTGGTGACCACAGAGGAAATAATGAAATATTTAAAGACCCCAATGAAAAGACAACAATATGAATCACAGGAAAATAGTCTTTCAGGAGGAAGAAGAAAAGATTCATCAGTGGGAGAACAGCAGAAAGGCTCACAGAAAATGGCATGGGGCTGTGACCCAGAAGACCTCACACTGCAGAATTTAAAAATTGTGTAACCATCTTCCACTGGTCATTGGTTTTGCTTTTACAATTATTATTCCCACCTGTGGTAATTAATGCTGCCTCCTTTCTGAAATTATGCTTGTCATTACAGCAGCAACTCAAAGTGCTAGCTGTAATTTCCCCATCCCTGCATCTGTACTGTGCAAACACAGAAGACAATTCATCCCGCTTCTAAAACAACCTTGGAGGCAAAGTGTGGTCCTGAGTCAAACATGGCCGAAGTGACTGGAGCAAGATCACACAGGGGAGCCTGGGCCAAGGCTCAGAACTGAAACCAAAGACCACGTCTGTTCTCTCCTCGACATCAGATTATTTGACTTGCAACCAGAATGATAAAGTCATTAAAGAGGCCACCAATCAGAGGGACTCTCACAAGCACATTGCAAATGTCCATTTTGTATATACAGTACCTGAAGGACTTTATAATTACAAGATTTTACTGATTTAGGTTGCTGCTTTTCACACAAGATGTTACTGATTTCACAGCCTTTTTACTGCCTTTCACAGCAAACAATGTTAACAATAAGAATCATAGCAGGCTCAGATTTCAGACAAGACATCTGAAGATCAATTCATGTGGAAAAAATGCTGAATGCGCTTTCTGAAGTTAGCCCATTTGATGACCTTGACAAGAAACATATGGGGCACAATCTGCCATGTGCAGGTTAGAGCGCTCTCATGATGCACCAGAGCAGTTGTACACCAAAGCACAGGGAAATGACAGCAGTTTATAATAGCATTCAGATTTTGAACTGCCCAATTTAATTGATTTACTACTATTCTTTTGAAAAAAGGCCTGCTGTGTTATGTGGCTGAACTCTTCAAATGGCTTTCAAATTAAAAAAAAAAATAAAAATCAACCAAGGCTATTTATTTAGACTTAAATAATAGAGATGGAGGTGGAGAATGTGCTAAAAACAGCTGTTAGTCTGTTGTATTGGTTTTTTCCCAGCAGAATCTAAACATTGGCCCTCGAAATATTTAAGTGTATTTCTTTCCATGCTATCTGAGAAATGGTTGAAAATCATGCAGCCAATTTTGTGCCCTCTGCTCAATTACAGAGATCTGGGATTGTTTGCTAAAGATCAAGAATCATATTGTAAAGTAAGAGTTTACATTGCTTTTGCTTTATAAGCTAAGTGGGCATTGAACACCTCTATGTTCAAGACATATCCAAAAAAAGGTCATTCTTGGGAAGAAGCCAGACCCCCAAAAACCCCATTTGAAAGCAGATAGCTGGAAAACACAGAGAGCAGTCAGTTTTTCTAAAGGACCATACAGACTAGCTACAATAGTCATTAAATGTTTCAGGAACTTTTAAAATGCAGAAGAGTTCCCTTTATTTCTATTTTGATCACTCTCTTTCAGGTCCGTGTCATTCTGCTGAATTGGTGTGCTTGGTTTTTACGAATGAAAAAACCTGGGGAAAAAGTAAAGCCTCTCTCTTGCAAATACAGCTATCCCAAGGAGCATCTGAGTGTAAACAGCATGGAGATGAATGTTCTACCTGGGCACCAGTCCAGCAATGGCAACATGATCTATAGCTACCACACAATGGATAATCCATGCTGCCCCCAGAAGAATGATCTGGGTAGCAAGAGTGGAAAGATTACTTGCCCCTTACCAGAAGATATGGAGCTTGTTCAAAAGAAAGCTTTAATGGATACTATTCCAGTGATTGTGAAGATCCTGGAGGAAGTTCAGTTCATAGCAATGCGCTTCAGGAAACAAGATGAAGGTGAAGAGATCTGCAGTGAGTGGAAGTTTGCAGCTGCTGTCATAGACAGATTATGCCTGGTTGCATTTACCCTTTTTGCCATCATTTGCACATTTACAATACTCATGTCTGCTCCAAATTTTATAGAAGCTGTTTCAAAGGATTTTGCATAAGGATTTCAAAGATGAGCACGATAATTTAAAAGTTAGTATTGCCAGTAATTTTGCTAGGTAATTTAACTCAAATAGAGAAGTGTACTTATATGTGCTAACATACACAGATGGGGATGAAAATAATTTCAGGAGGTAATTATTCCTGATGTTAGTGATTCTAGTTACTGAATAGTAAACATATTGAGCTCTGTTACTTATTTCATAGACTAGTGCCCTGCGTAATTATATCATGATCTGTGACAAATGATAGACAAGAATTCAAATCTACAATATTACAAGTTAACAGTAGTATCTATGTGTTACTATGAATTTGTGAACCTTTAGATACTGTTATTAATTTAAATGGCCATTGTTGACTATAAGCTTTACAGCATTTTGTTGTTTTCAGTATATTTGTGGTTTACCATTTTTGTTTATTGTGGCTGTGACATTCACTTCTCTGATTAGACAGACATATGTCCACAGTCTTTTGATCCTGTATATTGTATTTATGAAAATAAACTATCATCATGTTAGCTCTTACTAGTGCATTGACTGGAATGTTTTCTCAGTAAATATGTTAACAGAATGTATTTTGCCTAGAATATCACTTTTTTTTTCTCTTTAATTAGGAAATGTTGGTTGTGAGGTTGGAAAAAAAATTCATTCTCCATGCTGACAATCATATATATCATTAATGGTGCCTTCTTAGCTCTCCCGCTGCTTAACTGTTGCTGTTATCTTGAAACTCTACTTAATTTGAAATATCCCTGATCTCCTGGGACAAGGTTGCCAACCTAACACTAACTCTGTGTAATTAGGACAAAAATCTTATCTCTGCATAATGTGTAGGAAATTTGCCACTGATTTCACTGGGCTCAGATTTCATATTTAGTCTACACCACTAAAGTAGTACTTTTGGAAAATTCTGTTAGTACAGTCCCCTTTCCAATTGGGTCAGTATGGCTTTGTTAAAAGGAGAGTGTAAAAGACTAATTTCACTTTGCTTTATTTTAATGTAGCAATGTTTATTATCAATTTGCTGTCCATAAGTACCCTGATATAATCTCTATATATTACTTAAAAATAATCCAGTTATGCTAATTCCCTGGAAGATCAGGACTAAAAAGCATCATTCTCAACAGCAGCTTCTTTCCATTCAGTACTGTGAGTGGGAATGACACCTCTGTTTGTGTGGTTTTATTTTGCTCACTGAGCACAGCAGAGCTACAAAAGGACATGGTCTGATGTAGACACCTTTCCTCTTTGGGCTAATGCAGCACTTCTCTGAATGTTCACTAAAAGAAAACAACAACCTATTATCTTCTCTGACTGACTTTCAACTTTCTGTTCTTCCAGTGTTTGTGTACCAAAATCAAGATTTCCCATATCTGCATGATGGGATCCTTCCCACCATCACTGTCAAAGAGAAAAAAGCAGATCACGGTGCTACTACTCAATGGAAAGTAATTCCATCTAAAAGGTGATGGTGAAGCGTAGTTCTACAGACTGAAAGAATATGCAACTATTTATTTTAGCATAAGGTGCTCGAGCTCTTCCACTGTTGCTCTCCATTAGGTGGTGATGGTTCCCTTTAAGTAGAGATTTCATTCTAATGAATGTTACCTCTTAGCTGTAAGATTAGATCATCACGCCAATGGATTTATCACACTGCTTGGAGTTATGTTCGAAAAAGCATGTAAAAGCTATTTGGAGGTCCTGACTACAGTGACCTGTTTTGTATTTCACTTAGCTTTTGCGCTTCTTGCAATTACTTAGTTCTGCATGCAGCTCAAAGGGTTAACAATGGCTTGTAGCCTTTACTGAAAATTCAATCCATATTTCAGAGAGATCTTGTTTTCCTTCATAGGAGCATTAGTGCTCTAAGTAACTCTTTCTGAGCCTGCAGGAGAAAATTCCCGTGATCTCTGCTTCTTTCTCCTGCCCATTTTGCTGCTTCTACTTAAAAAATTGGCCTTGCTGTGGCACAGAATGCAATTCAAGAAGGGTTTGCCTAATAGAAACATCTAACTGAACAACAGAACTGGTCTGGGGGTTTGGTTTAGTGATACCAGGCTCTGCCCTTGGACAGCAGCTAAGATGCTCGTTGTAATTTATTGCTTTAGTTATGGGGACAACCAGTAGATAAAAAGCCTAAATACCCAATTACTTCTGCAGCTTGTGATGCAGGATATTAAATGAACTTTAGAACTCTTGTTCAAGGGCCACTAATATTTATTCCTGAAAATCTCCATTTTTGAAAGTAATCTCCAGTGACAGGATAAAAGATAAGAGCTAATGTTAAAGCACACAGTCACAATAACTTAGCATCCTAATGCAAAGCATTTTTCATTACATGAAACAGCGTTGTTGCGTAAGAGTATTTTTAACTGGATGCATACATCTTAGGATCAGAAGGAGGATGGAAACTGTCTGAAAACAACAGTGGAAAATTAATTTCAATCACTTTTTTATTTTATGAAAAAATATTTGCCAGTGCAAATAAAAAATTCCATTTATAGATTACTACCTTCTACTGTTAAATTGCCAGGGCTGGGTTGTCTCTTACAGAAATATCGCAAACCTCAAATTGTGTTAGGGGTATGCAGTTCACAAGTCCTTACACTGGACTGAAACTGCGTGTTGCTTACTTTTTCAGGTGACAAATTAAGGCAGATCCTTTTGATATCCAGTTGTCACTTGGCCTTTTGGAAGGCAATAACACTGTTACCACAAGTAGAATGACCTTGTGTGAAATGGCACATAAAAATACTTTCTGTACATACAGAGCATTGCAGAGCAAAGTGTGAATGCATTTAAGATTTTCCTGAGAACAACAGTACACTTGGAAAGATTGATGCATCGTCTGTATATACCGATTCACAGCTCTTCATGGCACCACTAGTTAGTGTCACAGAGTATCTGTCAAGGTATTACATACTTCTAAAAGAAGGAAAAATTCCCAAATCGATTACAAAGGGTAAATGGCAAAAAGACACTAACCCATAATAACCTTTACAAAATCCAGGTACTCAAGCAAATGTTACGTAAAGAGTGACGGTCTTACCCTCCCCCAGTAACACGGAAACATGATAGTAAAGATCTTTGTGCACTTTCTCTTGCTGAGGAGTAGCTTATTCCTCAGAAGGCATGGTAGATTTCTGGTATGGAGGTATTCAGCATAAGATGAGAATCTGTCCTGATTTATTCAAAGAACATAATTTTAACTTTGACTGATGGGTTACCAGATTTTTGAAGTGACTTAACTATCTTGACTGAAATACCTAGATATACCTGAAACAATGTGTTTTCCATTATTTTTAGAACATTTTAGTCACTGTTGAAAGTTTGCTATTTTATGCCCCCATGAGAAATATGGCTGTATAACTTCCAACAGTGAATATCAAGTATTTATTTACTACAGTACATAGTTCTTCCATTGAACATTAACTTTTTAGTAGACACTGTAATAAAGAAGTAGAGGATCATGAGCTAAAACCATTTTCTTATTCTAAATTACCATGTGCACAGGATAAGAGGATGGTATAAATCAGAAGAATGTTGGTGAAGAACAGGACTAATCTGGGATTTTAGTCAATAAGAGTGTCAAATACTGTGAAATCCTCACAGAAATAGAGGTGAAACCAGTTGAAATCCCTTCCCTTTTGTGAGGCTCCTCTTGGCAGAATTTGGAAGAAAAATTTGAAACTCTGTAAACTCAGTGAGACTATATCTGGGTTAAGAGGCTGGGCTGAGCAGTATCATTTGTCTGGAAGACTTCCTTTTCTCAGAATTATATATCCAGTTTGGAATTATAAGCAAAACAAGGGTTTCTTAGTCTTGTTTTTTTTTTCCCCTCTTGATGACATGCAGACTAAGGCAGAAAGGACACAAAACATATGAAACTCCAAATTTCAATTTAGTAAGAAAGCAGGTGCTCAGAAAGTTGGCTCCCTTTCTTTCTTGTTGAATGAACTGGAGGCTACTAAAGGATCTACTTGTACAGGTTTTGCACAGACAAGAGTAGAAGTGTCTCATGGGTTTATATTTGATACTGCGGCTGTTAAAGCTAGACCCCATCACATTTGCTTTCTGTCACCATTTAAGATGGTCTTCAGATCTCTAACTCCAACTTCTTATCAACTGTTGAATCATACAAATCATTCACACAGTCTTTCTCCTGTCCCATTATGGCAGCAAGAGCAGCTGTGTCTCAAGTGCCTTCAACAGATGCTTAATCTTAAACCTCCAATAACAGAGAATTAGGTTTCCCTAATGTATCATTGACCTATTTTATCACTTCTTGTTCATCTCTAGCATATAAATGAATCTACTAGACTCAACCATTTAAAACCCACTTTTCATATGAGAAGACAAAGCATCAAGATCATTAGCAGACTCAGTATCAGTAAAAAAAATTATTTATGGTAGTAATCATTATCATTATTAGCAATTAAAGTCCTAATGATCATTCATCATGACACAGTTTTAATGTTGGGAAGATCTTGATCATGTCACAGTTACGATTTTGGAAGAAAAAGTTTCCTAGTGCTTCAACATGTAGTCAATTTCTTTCATGAACATAAACCTCTGACTTGTTATGCAGGCTATCAACACCTTGCCCCTGTAGATTTTCATTTAATGGAGGAAATTGGTGAAGACCTTCCCAAGTAAAATGCAGTTTTGACACAGACCAGGTAGATTTGTCTGACTAAAGGAAAAAAATTGGCAAGACAAGTGTTGAACAAAATAAATGCAAATACAACTAGAATGTGGGAAAAGGACAGAACACTAGGAAAAAAAAACATGCAGTCACTCTGATGGTAAACTCTAAAAAGAGCTAATATTGCAGAAAAGAGAACTTTAAAGATTAGCATTTTCAGGACACATGCTTATCTCATAGAAGCATTATATCTTTTTGGTTTTTTAAATCCATTTATCAGAGAAAGCAGGATCTAAATTTCAGCCCAAGGACAGGAATATGGCAGTGTGGCTTTAGGAGTATCTATTTCCTTATATAGAAAATTATTTTTGGTGAAATAATTTGCATGGTTATACAACAACCAAAAAGTGAAAGTATACACAACACAGTACAGTGAGATGTCCACTGAGTTCTAATCAAAATAATTTTTAAGATCATATTTGTGACATACTTGACTTTTAGACACACGACATTGCTTTCCAAAATTTTCAAGGCACAACCATTATTTACATTCAATGATAGAACATATTTAATCAGGGGAAGGTATGCTTAGGAATCCCAATATCCTTTAACTGTCTGCATCCCTCAAGATTACAGCTGTATATTCAGCTATTTTTGCAGAGTTGTGTCTTTTAAAAAGCCAACAACTAACACTAGGTTTGCTTGTCAGAAATTTCACATCAAATAAAGGCATGAAAAGGCCTTTTTTCATTAAAAAAACAAACAAACAAACAACCAAAAAAAAAAAAAAAAACCCAAACAAACCAAGAAAAGAACAAGCAAAAAGAGCCAAAAAAAAGTTTA